CTCCAAAACCCACCACTAAACTCTAAAAAACCCAAAAAGCTAAAAGAGATGGCTGGGAGCCACCAAGATATATACATTAAACTGGGCCGCTCAAAATGGAGGGTTGGCCAATCCTAATCCATAATCCCCATAGGAAAGCCCCTACAAGGGAACCCCTTGCGCAACCCAAGGTAAGGATTAAGGATTACCTTTGTACAGCCCAGTTAAACGCAAACGCTGAATACGACCAGCGCAAGCATCAGAACCCGTCGAGTGCGAGAATCGAAGGATATTCATGGCGAGAGCATCGCTGCTCCTTTGGGGCAACATCCAGTCTGCCCCGCAGAAAACGCCGGCGTTGAAACAATCACGGAGCTCCGGCCATCCTAAAAACCCGTTGCTTTGAGGCTAATGGGTGTGCAGCTCAAAATAGGGGGAGACACAAAATGGTCTCGGTTGCTTTCTGCTCCGCTGCTAAAAGTTTAACTTTTAGTGGTTTAATGGAAAAGCCATTAGTTGGCAAAAGGTTAAAGTCCTAACATCTCCGCAAAATGCACCAAAGCGGGGGTTTTCCTTTTAGTTTCCCTTTTTAAACAGCTCAGAAAGGGTACTCTCAAAACAACGACACGACACGCCCACGAGGTAGCATCTTCACTGGACCCAATTTGTGTGAACCCCCCTCCGAGGTTGCTTTGTCAGTCATTCGTAACACATGGCCTCACGAGCTAGTTGTTTGTGTGTGTGTGTTGACATTGTGGTGTTCCTACCACGTTGTGGTGGACAACTCAATATCAGGTGAGTCACAATCAAAACCCGGTACTAAAATGGTCTACCCAGAACCACGAAGGAATTAAGAAGGCGGCCGCAGCTATTCCTGGTTGGGATTGTCCCTTACCAACCTTCAACTACCCGGGTTTTGATTGTAACTCAGGTATGGAAGTGATCCTCAACCATCCAGCGCTCAGTTTCTTGAATTTCGAACCTCCGTTTGCTGGAATCCGTCGTGCCTCCTTGGATACAAGTTTTTGTTTGTACACGGAGCGAGGATTGCTAGAGGAAGTCTCTTCTCAGTTAATCAACATGTAGCCCGGTCTCTAGGCTGGAACTAGGACCCCAGCATTTTTGCTTGTTTGCCTGGTTACCCCGAAAAAGCAAAAAAAAAAAGGGGGGGGAGCTAATTCTGGGGAAGGTCTATGGTACTTTGAGAGCTGAAACGCCAAATGCCGCCGAACTACGCAGTGACTGAGTGGCAATAGCCAAGGCCCACCGGCTCCGTGGAAGTGCCATCTCAGACCTTGGATGCTGTCGGGTTGTGCGCCTGTTGGAGGCGCACCTCCTATACCTCCCTGTCATTACTCAATCTTATCGGGTTGTCCCTGGCCATCTTGAGGGACAAATGGATAACGTGGCAAAGTGCAAGCAAACACGACGTGTTCAAGGAGGGAAGTAGTTGCAGTCTGACCCTGCAACTGCCAACAAAACAAGCTATCTCACTCTCTCTCTCCTTGATTGTTGTTGACCCCCCTGCAAAAAGGTTTAACCTTTTGGGGTTTAGTGGAAAGCACCTTTATTTCCCAAAAAGTTAAAGTCTAAAGATCCAACCCAATAGCAGTCAAGTGTTCCCATGGCGGACATTGGAACTGGGGCAAAGGCTGGAATGAGGAAGAACCCCCTTCCCAGTTTCAATAATCATCAATGATCGCAAAAATGCTCCTCAATCCCTCCCACCTCGAGTCTTCATCTATTTTTGCTTTTCTCCCCTTCTCTCTCTCTACCTCTCTCTACCCTTCTCTCTACCTCTCTCTACCCTTCTCTCTCTCCCTCTCCCTCCCCCTCTCCCTCCCCCTCCCTTGCGTTCCACACCAGCACAACACGGTGTGCCTTGAGAGGCCCCGCTCTCCAGGCTTCGGAGAAGCGCGATGCCCTGGGCTGTGGGCCCTTGGAAGCCCAGGAACCAGGGGTCCAAATCCCAAAGCACCCTTCCAAGACACCAAGGGAGAACTGGGCAAGAACTCAAGAAAACCCAAAAACCCAACTAAGCGATTGTCAACTAAAGATTCCAGATCTTTGCATCCTGTTCAAAACTCGAAGAACCTTGAAATCTAACATGATGTCCTGTGAGGCATGATGCCCCATACCTCGCATTGTTGCACTCTGGCCCATCCTCACTCGAAAGCTTGTTTGTTGCCCCTTCCAGGGGGAAGTGCTTTGCATATCTTTGCATTCAAGTGGGCATGCCCTCGTTCACGAAAAAGCTGTCCTTTTTGGCTGGGGAATCAGTTGAAGCAACCTTTTTACTGCAGAGCCCCCAACTGATCGAACCCACACACCACTTGACAGGTTCCACCGCCACATCATGTAGCCTTCAATTGAACCCATTTGTTAGAATCCATTTAGGGTCACCTATGGTCCCTTGCCGGATGTATAGCAGCTACATTCGAGACTAGAACAACATATCACTTGAATTTTGGCTTGAGGTTCCTAGGGATGGTCATAGACCCTTCAATACGGTATTGAGACAAGCATCATACATATTCCCTTGAGTGAACCATGACCGTGGCCCGGGCAAGTTTTGACCCTGGGAATGCATGAGCAAAACAGGTTGTCAAATTGTATAGGTGGAGGCATTGCGGACAAGTGGATCCCCTGCCGCAAAATGGAAGGCATGAGATTCCACCCCTGCTACAAAACGCAAACAATCTCTTGTAAACTAGGGAAAGCACTCCACTAGTCCTTAAACTTCTCTTGCTGTATTGGTAAAGCATCATTGCGCGGTTGCCAAAGCTGTTCTTTTTTGGGACCCTGAATGCACCGTGGACATACAATACAAGTTCCTACAATTCTGCGCGCTAAAAAAACAGAAAAAGAGTAGCACATAAGGCGCATTTAGGGAAAAGTCTAGTCGAAAGGGGGTAGATGATGCGTTTTTGTTTCCAGACTAGGTCCTCCAGTAGAGAGGTTAGAATAAGGAAAAACTTGTTTTTCTGTAGTCTATTTTAGTAGGGGAACCCTCCCAACCAAAAAAAAGGGTGAGAAAGGGCACTACTGGGGGACCTTGATGATGTGTGTTTGTTTCCAGAGTTCCTGTGTAGCACCCAGACCCCCACCAGGGGGTTATTTATGACAGCCAGGACCGGAGGTAGCGAAAAATCTTTGGCTGAAGCTCCAGCGAAGGCTCTCTGGCCGTTTTGGTTGACCTCACACTTTGCCTGGAGATTCATTGAGTGATTCATTGTTGACATCACATTTGTTGATGATTCCCCATTTGTTGATTCAACGTTGATGGTTCATATCGGGGAATCATCAATGAACACTTGGGTGAGATTCCGGGCGCCGATCTGTTTTTGACAAGTCCCAGGGCTGTCACTTCCCGAATCAGTTGCTCAGGCAATCGGTTGCATTTTGCCTGATTCTGGCGAACAGTCCCCCATTCTTTCCAGGATAATTCTGTTCAGAGCCGTGACCATTCGGTGGTTGGTCAAAATCAGGGCAGGGCATCAACCATGGGAAGGCGGAATGGAAGTTGCAACCAAACAGGGGCGAAGCAAATGCTCAAGGGCAACATCAGGTCCCGTACCAGCTGTGGGTGTGTGGAAGCGAAGCTAGCTAGCAAAAAACACACACATAGGTTTCCCTAGTAGACATTGTGAAGCTATCCAGACGTCCTCGAGGCACATGTGGTGTATGCCATGTGATGTCAAATGACACATCCATATAGAGATACACCACCCTGGCGTTATACCAGTGCGGCTACCCTCCAATTCCATGGAAGCTCCCAGGACCCTTTGGAAAGAGTATCTTGCCCATGCTAGCCTAAGGGAGTGTATGTACCATAAAGGCCTAAAGCAAGTAGAATGGGGGGTGGGGTACTTAAACTCATACTAACTATCATGCCAATGATCCTTGCCGCAAGATGCTGGCGCTTGACTGCGAGTAGTTAAAATGCTTGGGCCCGATATAACCCGAGATTGGCTGCTGAACCCTGCCCCAAACTACTGGTGGTCTGGTACCCTCGCCTGGTGCAGTTCCGCTGCTCGGTGAGACACCTGCGGGGCCACATGTGTCAAGCTGATTGCCAAAAACCCGTTGGAGAATCAGGAGATATCTGAGTAGATATTACAACCATATGTGCCCTTTGGGAAAATAGATGGCCCTGGTAGATGATTGAACCACTAGGTAAACCAGGGCCTTCTATTGTTTAAGCAAAACAACCAAAAAGGACACCTATGATCACAGCATCAAGGTGGATAGTGATGGGGATGAAACCAACGTGGATATCAGAAACAAATGAAACTGGACAATAAAAGGATAATCATAAACTTTCTGGGGATGTTCAAACATCGGCCTGTTGAAATACACAGCCTTCTGTACAGAAATTCCGACATTATGTAGATGCAAAACCGCTTAAATCTGATGCAAAACCAGCTTTCAACGAGCTTCTTATTGATCACCACGACAAATCGAAGCCACCCAGTGTGCTGTAGATTATTGTGCTTCTCCACTCCGTCTGGCTGGGACTCGGGGGATGACCATGGGGCAACCTTTTCTTTCCCATGTGGTTGAGACATCACATTCTCCTTTTTTAAAGGGACCGAGTCCGAACGCTTGGTTGCGGCTGTTAGTTGGTGGGGGGTACGGGTGAGGGTAAGGTTCCATGTCGATTGGTGCAACTTGTCCCATTCAGCGGGAAATACCATCTTAGTGGTTTGCCACAATGGTGATCCCATGTAAACTGGTTTGACGTTGGAAGGGGAGCTAAACAAATATATAAATCTTAGCAGTTCAGTGGTTGGATTTCAACCACTAAACCACAACAAGCAAACACGAAAACATGTTTCCCAACAACAACCATCCCAACCCGCCCCAACCCAAGAAACCCAGCCACAAAACCCCCCACAACCCAACCCCCCCAACCAACCAACCGACCGACCGACCGACCGACCATGTAGAGGACCTCTCAGATTAACCCCCTCTTCCACCAAAACCATCCCGCTCCCTCCGCTCCCGAGGTCACGGCTCCCTCATTGCCCGCGGGGTGAGAGGAGCGTGGCGTCGCCGGCCTTTTCCGGCTTGGGGTAGAGCACCTGCGGAAGGAGTATTGATCGAAGCTCCTCGTTTTTGAGGCTCGGTACCTTCTTCTGCTTTGACTTTTCTGTTTTCTTGTTGGGGTGGAGGGAGAATTCATAGGTCTGAGTGAATTATAATAATTCACCAGCCTGAAATCAAACGGTTGGGGGGGCTATTCCCCACGTAAAAACACCATTTGGGTTCTGCGTTGCTTTTTCTGTTTTCTTGTTGGGGAGGAGGGATAATTCATAGGTCTGATATAATACTTCACCAGCCTGAAATCAGGCGGCTGGGGGGGCTATTCCCCACGTAAAACACCATTTGGGGTGAGATCATATGAGCTCTCCTCGTTTTTGAGGCTCGGTACCTTCTTCTGCTTTGCTTTTTCTGTTTTCTTGTTGGGGTGGAGGGAGAATTCATGTCTGCGTGAATTATAATACTTCACCAGCCTGAAATCAGGCGGTTGGGGGTCTATTCCCAACGTAAAACACCATTTGGGGTGAGGTCGCGTGAGCTCTCATCGTTTTTGAGGCTCGGTACCTTCTTCTGCTTTGCTTTTTCTGTTTCTTGTTGGGGTGGAGGGAGAACTCATGTCTGCGTGAATTATAATACTTCACCAGCCTGAAATCAGGCGGTTGGGGGTCTATTCCCCACGTAAAACACCATTTGGGGTGAGATCATATGAGCTCTCCTCGTTTTGGAGGCTCGGTACCTTCTTCTGCTTTGCTTTTTATGTGTTCTTGTTTGGGGGGGGGACCCTGCGGAAGGAGAATTCATAGCTGTCCTTTTAGGGTCTATGGATGAGTTTCCCTGGTGGATGATTGAACCAGGTAAAAACCAGGAATCGCCATCTACTTTTCGACCAAAACAACCAACAAGGAGCACTTGTGGGAAGGATAATTCATCGCACTCCTTGCTTTTGAGGCTCGGTACCTTCTTCTATGTTCTTTCTCCTCTCTCCTTTTTTTTTGGGGGGGGACCCTGTTTTTGTTGCCAAAACCAAAAAACATGTTTTATGGGGTTGGTGGGGCAAGGATTTGAGGGCATCCTTTTTGGGGTTGGTGTAGAGGAAACCAACTGTTTTGGAGGGTTCCGATTCAATCCCTTACCGGGGGTTAGCTCCAAAATGGCGGGGTGTGGCGGCGTGGGTGCCTGCATGCGCGCACGTGCGCACGGGCGTGCATGCGTGAGCGGGTGCGTTGGTTGACGGGTGTGGGGGTGAGTGGATGTGTCGGTGTGTGCGTGTGTGTGTGTGGGTGTGCATACGTACATAACATAATATATTTATATACATAGAATATATAGATATATATATATATACATATTAATATGTGTTTGAGCGTGTCCAAAAAAAAGGTCCTCAAATTTCCATTCACCCAGCGGATGTTGGGTTCCGCGTGCGGTAGGCCGTGACGAGAAACCGAAACCCCCCGAGCCCCGGCCATCGGCATCACGTTGTCCCAGTCCGTGGTGATGAGGTCGGAGCACGGCCTTGCGGTCCATCTCACTGGCATGAGGTCCTCCAGATTTGAAGGGTTACAATAAGTTGGTACCCTTCTTTTTTCAGTCTTGTCTATTTTAGTAGGGGAACCCTCCCAACCAAAATTCTAGGGGTTGATCCCTTTTCCATTCTTTTCAATGCTGTGTGGCGATAATTTGGGGGGACTCCTGCTCAGAGAAAGACAAGAACAAAAAACCTCAAAGAAACCGAAAAAACAAAACCAAACGTCCGCAGGAAAATGCCCAGGGGTCCTCTGCCCAACCCTCGTTCTTTCCCATTCACCGGATCCGTTTTCCCTGGGTTTCCGGGGCCTTTCTAGAAAGATTCGGATCCCTGGAAAGAATGGAATTGGAAGGTACCCCTAGAATCATCTCAGTGTGTCAGGAACCAAGTGGACATGGACATTGCAATCGGCGAATCGGCCATGGGGCATAAACTATGGCGAACCATTTTGGGATGGATGAACATCACTTTGCCACCTATTTTGATGTTTGCCAGGGGTACCCACAGCCGAATCCGCAAAGACTGTCCAACGCAACATTTGAACACCTCTACTACTTTTCGCCCAAGCGGTCGACCCCTTCCATGCAATCGAAGGGGTGTTTCGGCTTTACCCCGACACCGGCGCCAACCTTCCCTGCCATGTTAGCTTCACTGACAAAAATGGGCTCAGCTGCAGGGCTTATAAACTATCTGGGTGAATTATAATATTTCACCTATTCCCCACATAAACCCACCATTTGGGTTTTTGAGTTCGTTATAATTCACCCAGGACTATGCACTTGCTGGCTTCCACTTGGCCATTTGCTGGCTTCCATTAAGCTTGCCAAGGGTTTCAGCACCCAGTTCCATAGTGTTCGCGTCGTCCATTTGCCGTTCTCTGTCCATCCCGGAGCCGTGGGCCTTTTGTGTGGCGTTTCTACGATGTTGTTTCTACCTTTAATCGCGAATTCGCAGATGTTTGTGTGTGCGTGTGTTCACTTGATCTCCCGTTTATATCCCTTGACAAGGACACATGTATTTGACATCCCGCTAGTCAAGCCATGCTGAGTGGGGAATAAAGTTGACTGAAGGATTGGCAAAACAATGCCATGCTGGGTGTGGATGCTGTTGGCCCCTTCATCTTTGCAGCGGTCGGCTGGCAGGGCACTGGGAGAACTGGCATCAGGCAATGTCAGCTCGAGCTTGACTAGGTCCTCCAGTAGAGATGAAAGAATAAGGGCTGTTTTCTGTAGTCTATTTTAGTAGGGGAACCCTCCCCCTAAAAAGTGTAAAAGGGCACTACTGCGGGCACCTAGTTGAGTGATCTTGAGCAAGTCGCAGTGGCGCAATGCCTACCAACGTGGAATTCCGTCAACCGCGCAGTAAAATGGCGACGACCGTGTTCAAGCCGAAGCACGGTCAACCGTATGTCACCAAAAGCGGACCTCGTGCTTTTCTGGATATGTCTGGATATGTCTGGATACATCCAGAAGCAGCCTGTTGCAGGTGCCAAGCGATTGAAAGCAGTTGGAGAGTGCTTGCGCAAAGGGCTGAGCAGGATGTCATCCTAAGAAGATGCAACAGGCCCATCATTTTGCCGGTCTCTAGCAGTGTCACAGGTGTGGCTCGAGCTTGGCAATTCCAGATTCTGGCACCCATGATGCAACTGGTTATATCCAGAAAGCTCAGCCTTTACAGTTGCACTATCTAGCAATGGAGCTAAATGGCAGTGAACATCCGATTCAATCCCCCCTAAGATAGGTTCTAAAATGGGTGGTGCACCTAATCCCCAAAATGGGACCCAAAACGGTTTTGACAACCACACCCAACTTCGGCCATCCAAACTCCGGGTCGGCATGGCTTCATCCTCCATTGGCTTCAGACCGGTAGTGAAATCGATTCCCTGTAAAACCAACTGGGAAAAATAAAACAAATATTATTAACCTCGGTTCCCTGCTAAAAGATTAACTTTTAGTGGTTTAATGGAAAACCCATTAGTGGGCAAAAGTTAAAGTCCTAACTTCCAAGCAAAATGCACCAAAGTAACCAAATGGAAGTCATATGTGCAAATTACGGCTCCCGCTTCTAGCCCCTTCCTGACGAGGTCAGGAGAAGTTGAAGCATTTTCTGGGCTGCCCTCAGATCCCCCGCTTTTTACGTTTAACTTTTCGTGGGTTCAATGGAAACTACCACTAAACACTAAAAGGCTAAAAAGATAAGGGGATGGCTGGGGGCCACCAAGTTTTGTCATGGTGGCACTTAGTTTGCAATGCCACCCCGTGTCATCTTACTCTAACCCCAACCACCAACTTGCCGGCAAACGGCTGCATCTTAGCATGAAACCACTTACTTCGCAATGCCCCCCTTTTCATCTTATTCCCCCAACCCCCCGCCCCCTCCGTTTCCGCCCCAAAACGAACCAACCACCAACCATTCAATCAACAGGGATCCTTACATTCTACACCTGAACATTGCAACTTGTTTTCTGGTGGGTTCCCTTTACTTTGGTGGAAAGAAAAAGCCACATGTGTCAGATGGTTTCAAAATGGAGATCTTTTAAGGAGCCCTGATGAACCACCAATCCTTCCTTTGGCCCCTCATGGCCATGAATCCTTGGCGCCCGGCTTGAAGAGCCAGCCGGTGACACGCTCTCGGTGCCAACAAGTTCCGCACCTTAGACGCAGCTCAGAAGCAGAAAGTCGGTTTCAGTCGGATCGGCTCACTTCCGATGTGGATTGGTCAAACCAACTCCGAAGCGTTCTTTTTTATATACTTAATTCCCACCTACATGGTCCAAACCCAGAAAGTGTCAAGCCCAGGAACTCAGGAACTGAGCTGGTGACTTAGATTGGCTTGGAGGTGGGGTGGTTTCCCATTTACCCTCTAGAGTCAGGGGTAACCCCAAACCAACTCAGAGTGACCCGAGACGAGAGGTGGCTCTGGTTTCACATGTTGGGCTGACTTCACCGGTGACCCTCGATCCAGTCGCCTGGACCCGAGGGGTGCTGAGAGGTTTAGTGCGGCCAGGAACGGCAAGGCGAAAAATTCGGGTGACCCCAATCAACCCCGGTGCTTTTTTTTCCTTGCTTGGCATCAGTCTAGGGGCCAAACACCACCCACTTTCCTATGACACGAAACTGGGTGGATGAACACCAAAAAACAATCGGGGGGTCAACAGCAAGGCAGCCCACAGTTTCGAGCTTTGTTTGTACCAGCAGTTCGGGGATTGCTCAAAATAGGACTTGGTGCGGCCCTAAAATGGATGCTGTCCTCTTTTGGTCTCCCTGACACCAAATGTCGGGCCCCATTCTTCTAGGGGTACCTTCCAATTCCACTCTTTCCAGGCATCCTTCTTTCTAAAATACCACCCAAAACCCTGTGGAAACAGCTGGTTTTTGAAAAGAACGGGAATCAACCCCTAGAATTCTGAGAAACTCCCAAGCTCCAGCAGGTTGTCCAAGGCTTCATGGGAGCAGACCGCTGCTCTCGCAGCCCTAAACACTTCAGCAGTGCAGCGACGGAACAGCTGGGAAGCCCCCACACAACTGTTGAAACGAGTGAGCCCCAAACAAGGCGTTCTCGGAAAAAAATGACACTCTCCAATCCCTCTCAGATGATATGCCCAAACGCCAGAAACACAGTTAGGTGTCTTCAAAAGAAGCATGGGTGAAGAGAATACTGAATCGGCCTGACTCAATCCCAAGTCGGCTTGAGGAACCCAAAAAAAATCACCACAGCAGTGCAAACTGGGGGCTACAAACCCACCCTCTTTGGGACTCCTTTCCAGGAAGAAAAGGCTCCCGAAATGGGTCGCGCTCCCCGGTCGGGAGAGGAACCCAGCCCGCTGGGCATCCCGCCAGCCATCGATGCAGCCATACTTGATCTCCTGGCTCAAGACGCGCCAAACGAAACGCGCCAGCATGCAGGGCCTGGGGGCAATCCTGTCTGGGGGAAGTAGAATATTTCACCGACCTGAAATAAGGCGGTTGGGGGGGTTCAGGTCGTGTGAGGTCGTTATGATTCACCCAGGCCTCTTCGAATCATTTCGAATCCACCTGTTTGGTGAGTCCGCACTTCGAGAGGGGAAGGGCACGGCCCTGGACTTGGGAGTGCAAGTTGGAGCGCCAACCAATGTGTCACCAGCATGTTTCGGGTAGCCCTCCTTTGGACTTTCGACACGCTTCAGTTGCGAATCTCGGCGCATCCCTTTGGTCTCCAGCATCTCTGTGGGAAGTGCGGGCGAATGCAACCGATCATCTAGGGCATGTAAACCTAGCCCTCTGTAGCTGCGGTGGGTTGCTGCTGGACCGCGCTTTGGGGCCGAATGAAGAGAGCCTCCCAATGCGTAATCCGCTTTCAGAGCATCCGGGATCAAAACGCCTGAGTACGTCACTCATCCATCCCATGCAGGCTTGGCGGTTCAGACCGGTCATAGGGAAACCAAAGAAAAGCGTGCACTTAGATATTGAGGCCTCCGATATCGTGAGGCCGCTTTGTTCCACCCCTTTCCCTTCCCCCACCATGGCCAAACTCCGTGCGTTGGCAACAGGATAGTCAGTGAGTCCAAAGTTACTCTCCCCCGGTGCTTCGGGTAACCAAGTATGGCAACCTCTAGGTTCCATCATGGAAGCAAACCCAGTTCCCAGTCGTGGAAAACCTGGAAATTTCTTTACAAGCTTGCGGGACACCTGAAAGCCTGAGTTTTCCTTCGAAACCTGGGAAGAACCTGGAAGAAAGGTCAAAACTTCATGAAACCAAACCTGTTTGCTTGGTGAAAACCTGAGGTTCCTAGAAGACTCCGGAAAACCCGTGAAATCTGTAAACAAATTGAGGAACACCTGGGGTTCCTGTGGGTTGGGGACAGCGGGGCTTTGTTTTTAGTAACCACGAGCATCCTCATACACATCGAGTCAAGGAATCTGCACGAATTGTTGCACTTCATGACCTGGAAACAAGGATCCCCCGACAAAAGAGTCTTCTTCTATAGGGATGAGTTTGCCTGAACCTCCACTCGGTTGCTTTCTGCTCCCCTGCTAAAAGTGACTTACTTTTAGTGGTTTAATTCGGAAAACCCATTAGTTGGCAAAAAGTTAAAGTCCTAACATCCAAGCAAAATGCACCAATGTTCAGGATGTTGACCCAGGATTAATAAACCCGCCCAATAATTAATTAGCGGGGTCTTCCCTCCAAAAGTGGTCTGAATCCCCTCTAAAAAGGGGACACCCCCCCTCTTTATCAACCAGGGGTGTATTCATCCCGGGTTAACATTAGGGGTGAGCTTGCCTGTACCTCCAGCTTCCATTTGCTTGAGACCCCTGGGGAAAAACTATATTTCCGTTTAAAAACCCACACGGGAAAATAAAACCAAATCTCAAGCAAATGGAAGTTCTTTTAGGGGTGAGCTTGCCTGTACCTCCAGGTATACGCTTCTCTTTTCTCAGAGTCATGTGGCCATGGGTCAAAATCCCGTACCCCCAGTGAACAGCCCAATCCCCACTAAAATCCTGACTCAAATGGGTGGTGCACCTACCCCAAAATGGCACCGTTGGTCTTGACCCACAGCCATCTCTCTGCGCTCCTTGCCCTTGGCAAACTCCACAGCTGAAGAGAGACGGGAGTTGCGACCTGAGGCGTCCGCGCAAAGGTCGACACAACACCCGCCACGGGCTCAACAAGTTAGTCATAATCAAAACCCGGCATTTAAAGAGACCGGGTGTTGGTGGGGATGTAATTTTAAAATGAAACATGATACAAACTGTCTTAAAATGGTCCAAGCCCAGAACCATGCTTCAAGAATTAAGCAGGCGGACTCACTCAGGGCATCTTTGAAGCCCTCATTGCTCAAACGACGAAGAAGCCCAAAAAAGGGGAGAGAAGGGCACCTAGCTGGGCGCCCCTAGTCTTTGCAACGGTCCCTTAATGATCCGACGTCTTCGCTCAGCTTCGCTCAGCTTCAGAACTTGAGAGTCCATCTCCCATTGGTCGAACAGGTCGATGGCTATGATGCGTTTTGCCACGGCTGAGATCCAAACAAAAAAACTAGCAGTTGCATGGGGGTTTGTGTCCATCCAAACAAAAAACCAGCAGTTAAGCACATGGCTTTATGTCCAATCTAGGACGTTCTTGAACACCTAAGTCACATCAGAACTGGGGAATCAGAACCACAAAGCGTTGCCTGAATATCAAGAGCGCACATCCAAGGCAGAAACCAAGAGTTGCCCGCCACTGACCTTCATGTAGAAAGCTAAACTCATAAAGAAAACTCAAGGACGCGTAGGATGGGAAAACAATCCTTGTGTTTTGCCCTACGATGTTTAACAAGGGCATCACAAACCGGGAACTTGGTGTCTCCCGGCAGAAATCTGGGCACCCCCTGCGCACCGTAGCAAACTCTCCCTCTGGCAGGACCACCACCTGCAACAGGCAACCCTTCAAAAGACTTGTCGGCCCAAAGGACCCAGAAATCAAGGGAAATACCTTCTGGGGCCGTGACTCAAAATGGACTTCAAGGAAAAACGCAAAGGTCCAAAGGTTGGCTGTGGGCGAGTGAGCCGAACATTGCAACTAGGAAACAAAGAAGACCCCAATTGTTGCCATGATTTGGTTGGCATGAAGGCAACAGGCGTGCCTGATATGTGTTGATTCTCGCGAAAGATCGGGTGCCAGGATGTGCCAGAAAACGAGTGGCAAGTTTAAAAGGGCACTGTTCATTTGGAGCTAACTATGGTCACTGTTGAATAAGGATGGTTGAGCTCTGCACAGCAAATCATGCGAACATGAAAGTTCATGAGTGCACTGTAGCACCTGAAAACAGACTGCAGTAAGCGCACCACACGTCGCGGCAAATCTGCGCACCCACACCCACGAAGCAATGCACGCACGCTCACGCACGAGCGCTCTTGGCTGCGGCTGTTAACTTTGCATCCAGGCAAAGTAGGCAACAAACCACACCTAAATAGTCACCACTCAGTTGCCCTTCTCCGCATGGGTGGGCATGAACCATCACTGACATGGTTTGCTTGGCAAGCCTCATAACTGTGCCCCGGTTGCTCAGATTAAATTCGTGGCCTCTTCAAGGCAGGACGAAATGACCGATGAAAAAAACAAATCATTCGGCCACTGAGCGAACCCGTGGAACTCAACGCCTGGGACGAATCTAGTTCAAGTTCTGATGGAATTCCTCACAGCGGCGTGTTCCAAAATTCGGGCTAGAACAGATTTCAAGCAGTTCCTGGAAGCTCTCTCTGGGGCGAGGGGAACAATTCAGCTTTTGGCAAGGCATCTGGGATCCCTTGTTCTGTAACACGCTCCAAGATGTTGTGCAACGAACTGCAAGATGCTGCGCGTGGCTGTTGTCCATATGGTTAATTGACATGCATGCACCCCTGTCTACAGAACAACTAAGCCACGTCCTAAACGTGTCATGATTTGCTATGTCGTATCATTTGCTTACGCTACGAGCTTACGCCACCTTACGCGCATGGAGTTTTTCCTTGCGCGGCGCATGTTGAGGTTTTGCTTACGCCAACAGCTTGCGCCACCTTACGCGCGTGGAGTTTTTGCTTGCGTCAAGGTCGAGATGACACGACTCTTTCTAAACATGCACACGGAGGTTTTGGATGCCGCTCAACTGAGAACACCACCAAGCCATGCATTTAGGCCTGTTTCGGATTTGGCTGTGAATTGGAATGCGGGGCACCGAAGAAAATAGCTGGTGGACGTATATCCCATGCAAATTTCGTCGTCCAAAGCGTCCAACCGCTTCAAGCGCCTTCCCAAACGGGTGTGTCTCAAACTGTTGGCAACCCTCACAATTGTTGTTTTCTTGTTGGTGCCAAGTGTGTTGGCTTGTTCCCTAGTTCGACACCCGAATGGATTTTGTCTCGAGTTTTTCCCGTTTCGACCCTCATGCAACCCCCCGTCGCCTTGATAGGCCCGAGCCGCGTGTTGCGGCACAGCGTCAGGACGACCCTCGATTTTCGCACTCAAAATTTGGAGTTTTCCTCACGGAATTGGGGGGGGGGGGCTATCCATTGGATAAGCCAAGGATAAGCCAAGGATAAGCCCTTAACAAGGCCAGAAGAGGGGTTAACAAGGGACAGGTTCTACTTTGCAGTTGCCAGGGCAACCCAATTTGGGAAATCTAATATGTTTCAGCCACATATGGGGTCCCAAAATAGGGGACCCCGAAAACGGTTGGCTTCCTTTTGGTTGCCCTTTAAACACCATCCAACAGGGCTCTCCGAATTTTGGTCACCATCCTCATATTCAAAGTCGCTCTTCATCAACAAGCAATCTATTGTAGATCTTTTGCACAGCTGGAGATGGGTCACTGCTTTGTTTAGGGTAGCCTTGTTGAAGGGGGGGATTCAAAGGGAAACGAGAGGGGAAACACCAACTTTTTGGGTGGTTCCTATTTTAAGACACACTCAGATCCTATATCCGGTTGCACTCTACATCAAGACTCCTCTAATGTCTCTTCCCATGGCGCAAGATCCGCAACATGCGGGACAAATCGGGTCCCGCCATCCAGCTAGACCCGTCAAGGCGAAAGCATGCCCCTCCAACCGTTCTTTCAAGGCTGGCTCAATCTTGAATCAGAGTTTCAAGCCCTAACAGGAATCTTTGGGGCATCTTTCAAGGGGAAAGCATGACCTCCGTCTTGCATCCAGGGGCATCGAATGCATGGCAGTTGGGTACCTGTTGAGAGCATGGCGCCGTCACACATCACCTCTAAGGCCTGAGCGAATCATCGGGGGACTCGCCGACTAGCCTGCTGAATTCTGCCGGCAGTGGTGCGACTACCCCGGTGCCGTGATTGCAGAGCCAGCATGATAATCACAGTTGACGGAAACAATCTTGACCAGCTTCCGGAAACAAAAAAGAAGAATAAAAAAAGGGGAAAAAGAAGAAGAAGGAAACAACAACAACCCCCCCAAGAAAAAAAAAAAAACAACCATGGTTAGCCGGCCAGCAAGCAAGAGCGGAGACATGAATCGTGCATGTAGTTCCCAAGTTCCCAACTTGAGATGCCGCTGCCCAGCCCCCTTTTGGCCACAAGTCGCTCAATCTTGAATCAAGGTATTTGTTCCAAGTTCAGATTCAATGTGTTCGCTTTAGGCTGACAGGGGCGGTTCACGAGACAATGGCATGCTCGAAGTAACTCAGCAACACGGGCAGCGCGCAGCTGTGCAGGAATTGGCTGCAACTGCGAGGGTGAGCACAACATTGACAAGGCTCAAACACGGCGCGTGGCTGCTCGTTGAACATAACGTTAGGGCGGCAGCAACAGTGAACTGACTGATTTACCACTTCATTGCCATATGCCTAGCAAGTGTGGCAAGGCAGCACAGGCTTCCGCGATGAACATCTGCTAGCGACAATGAGCTATCCCCCTCAACCCTTGGACCAACGTCAAGCAACTGGCATAAGATCTTGGGGACACTCCTGCCAGTACTTTGATTGATACCATCCAAGCAAATGTTGCTGCCACTCCATGCAGGTTGCTCTCCCACTCTGACGGGTGAGAAGCCATGTACTTTGACAGTCGCTGGATTCCTCTTGAAACACCTGAAAACTTCAGGTCCTTTGAGGTGGAGATGGCACCAAGAGGTGCACCTTTCGGGGCCATAGACAGGGAGAGGAAAAATGGTCCAGCGGCGGGCTTACCTTTGAGGTGCCACGACAAAAGGACAAAAGGACAAAAGGACAAAAACACAAAAGGTCAAAAGGTCGCTTTGGACTGAGTGTAGCCCCGAAGACCCAATTTGAGCCGCCATATTTATCTCCCCGCCTCGCAATGTCCTCGATGGATGCATCGACCGTCTCTATGCCATTGACTGCGATGATCTCGGCGAAAGGCTTCCCCGGAGCATAAAAGAAACTTGGAGGATCTGAGAACCAGCAAGGCAGGTTGTTTTGCCAAAACCTTTTGGAACCCATGTCAAATGTGTGCCCATGGTTAATGGAGTCAAACTGCACAGGGAGACAGCCCACAGAGCAACATGCCACATAACACATGAATATACTCGCAGGGAGCTGCGAAGGGATCTTAATTTGTGCTGAATGAGATATCACGCTTTACATGTTGCAGAGAGTTGCACGGAGAGCTTACTTCGCGAATACAAATCGTGTTGAGATGTTGCGGGAGTCACTGAGACTTTACTTTGTGACTACAGGCCAGATATCACTTGAAGTACTTGTATACGGGCAATGCGACGGACCTGTGGTGCCAGAATCTGTGCTCGCAACTATTATTCTCTTTTGAGCTGTGGCAAGACTGAACCCGCTCAACGAAATCGCAATGTGGGGATGGGCGTATTCGATGTGCAAAGGCCTGAGTGTTTCCTTACCTTGCAGCATCTGGAAAACTTGATGGGTTTTGCTACTGTTCGCGGCTGCTGCGCGAACCTTTGCAGGATTGGCGCGGTCGATGTGCCAAAGCCCGTGAGATTTCGCTTTTGCAAAATCGCCGCACGACCCTCTGCGGGATCGGCGCAGCCACGCAACACAGCGCGTAGATTTTGCCCGGATATTGTGACGAGAAACTTGCATCGATAACCTTCACAAATCAATTTGCACAGAACAACTTGCGGAGAGAAAACATGCATGAAGGGCTTGCACGGAGAAAACTTGCACAGAGAGCTTGCACCGAGAAAAATGGAAATAATAATAATAATAATAATAATAATAACTTGCACAAAGAAATAGCAGGGAAAGCTTGCTCAGAGAACACCAGCCCAGAGAAACTAGCGCAGCACAGAGAAACTCGAACCAAGACGCAGCCTCAACACAGCTCTCAAAAACACATCCTTGCACCGCTAAATGCTGTCGGGCCACCGGTCGTTTAGCGGGAATCCATATGTTGCCCAAAGGCAAACTAAGCAACCCCCAGTGAAAAATGATCATCCCTAGCAACCGCAATTAAAAGGGCGGGCAATGAGGGCAAAAGTGGATGGATGTCCGTCGGCTTGATCGCATTCCAAGAGCTCGAGCAAAATTCCAGGAATTCTGGTTGCCCGCATGCTTGAACAAGGGAAGCCGCAGATCGACAAAATGCAATATGTTCAACCCAGGTGACCTTTTGGACAAATACATGGCCATGGGTCAAAATCTTTTCCCCCCAGCGAACATCCCAATCCCACTAAAATAGGTTCTAAAATGGGTGGTGCACCTACCCCAGAATGGGATCCCAAAACGGCTTTGACAACCACAGCCAGATGGCACTGGGAAAGGGAGTGACACCAATCTAAGCCGACGGAGCCAATCCAGGAGAATGGAAATGACAAAGACCCAAACCCGTGGACAAAACAACTACCCCAATCGTACATTCCAACATTGAGTTCTGCAGGGTGCACCCATGATTCCTTTAAAGCGATTGAGTATCTTGTCCATGTGCTGCACTTGGCTAGAAAAAAATGAAAAACAGGGATTCCAGACAATCGCCTTCTGAGGAAGCCGCACTCGCGCATACTGTGCATGGACAAAATCCTGCGCCACGTAGAACCCATGGTTGAAACCATTTTTTGTTGGTATTTATCCATCCGCAGTATTTCTTACCCCCAGCGCGCCCACTAAAATAGGTCCTAACGTGGGTTGTGAATTCCCCTACCCCAAAATGGGATTCCCACCCACCCACCCACCCACCCACCCACCACCCACCCACCCACCCACCACCCACCCACCCACCCACCCACCCACCCACCCCCCACCCCACCCCACCCCACCACCCAACCCCACCCCACCCCACCCCACCCACCCCCCCCCACCCCCACCCCACCCACTCCCACCCACCCCACCCCACCCCACCCCCCACACCCACCCACCCCACCCCACCCACCCACCCACCCCACCCACCCACCCACCCACACCCACCCACCCACCCACCCATCACCTTCCACCCACCCACCCACCCACCCCACCCACCCACACCCACCCACCCACCAAAAGAAAAGGCGAAGGTTTCACGGCTGACCCCGATCAAAGGTTGTCACGCGTCTCCCTCCTCCTCCTCCTCCCTCCTCCTCCTCTCCTCCTCCTCCTCGTCCGCTCAACGCGCTGCGCGCGCCCCTCAGAGCTGCACACATGCCTGCCAAACGGTAAGCGTGCTCGCGCAGGCGCTTGCGCCTGCTAGATTCAGGAAAGCGCGCCCTCTCAAGCAAGCTCGCTCTGCAAAATGGTAAGTGCGCCCGCTCAAGATTTGCTGAGCATTGCGCGCAGGTCAAGCCTACGCGCCTCCGTGAGGTTCACCACCTGGAACCCCAGGCGCAGCGCGCAGGACTTGCCTCAGACTTGTTATGCGTGGCTGTCCGTCTTTCTCCTCGCTCTCGGGAGCCGACGCATCCCCAAAGGGCCACGTGCTGTGCCTGCACCAGTCGGCCAGCTGGAGTGAGGCAAATGGCGCGCCCTCATCGTTCTCGTCTGTTGTGGCGGGCGACATACACACCTCCGACGAGGCTGATTTCTGCGAAGACTGAGCTGAGAACAAGTCCACATGACGCTGGGGACGCTTTCCCCGACTGCAAGCCAGCCCAACATGCGACAGCGACAGCGGCAGCGACAGGGACAGCGACACGGCGTTGTGGTCTTCATCGCCCACATATGTGGGCAACACCCCCGTCGCCGTTCCCATCTCCCGGCATGCCTGGCGAGGGGCATCAAACTCATGGCAGGATCGGCACGCTTCTCAGCCCGGGCGCAGCACGCATATTCGTCGTACACGAGGTGTACAACCGCCATGTTTCGACGAGCTTGAGTCGGAGAGAACTACAAAGCGCACGGCGACCGCAAAATCGACTTTGCTCAGCAATTAGCGCAGAAGCGTCCCAGCAGCGCCCAGAGCCTGAGTTGGCTCAAAATACAAGAAAAGAGGCCCAGCAAATGGGAGCTCAGCTCCAAACCCAAATCCAAGATCGATCATTACCGCAGCTCCGGGAAGCCAACAAAATACAATTCGGGTCCTATCTTGTTAATGTTGGCACTTGATTAATAAAGGGCCCCCCCCGAACAATGGAGGCGTTAGAAAAATGTAGGCTCACTTTTGGGACGTCCAAAAGATGGAGGATTTTGGGGCCCAATTCTACTTTAGTATTGCAGCCACGTCCTTTTTGCAATTCTACTTTAGTATTGAACCACTTCTTCCTGAGCAGACTTTTTGGAATACTACTTAGTATTGCAACCACTTCTTCTGGGCTGGGGGTGGTTTTCAATTTTCAGAGGTTTCAGCTGGCTTTGGGTTCTGTGGTTGATTGAAGGGAATGCTGTTAAGCAAGATCAATTGAAAGAGGATGCTTTTAAGCAAGTGGGCCACCAATTGAAAGGCAATGGGGGCTGGGGGCTTGCAACTAATGTGGTCCCCTAAAAGAATGACATCGTTGTGGTTCAGTGGGAGGGGTACCCTTGTCCTGATTGTTTTGTTGTTTTTTTTTTAACCCGGTTCAAAGAAGAGTTTGCAGTTTCAGGGCTGAGGATGGGTTTCAAATTTCAGAGGTTGCAGCTGGCTTTGGGTTCTGTGGTTGAGCAACCAATTGAAAGATATTGAAAGGGGAATGCTTTTAAGCAAGTGGCTGCCTGGGCACGCCAGGTCAGGAAAAGACCTGACCCCAAGTGGCGGTGGATGTTATGAACCGTGGTGACGATCTTGCCAGGCTGGCAGTTCGTGAGCTCAATGGCGACATTCTATTCTGGGACCTGGGCCACGAGTCTGTCAATGATGCGCCAAGCCGCATGTGGTAAAGGGAGTTTGGGTAGACAATCACTTCAGAACGCTAAAAAAGCATCACTTCAGAACGGGCCACCAATTGAAAGAGGATGCTTTTAAGCAAGTGGGCCACCAATTGAAAGGGGAATGCTTTTGAGTAAAGCAACTGATAGTTTTTGTTTTCCTGGAAAGAAGGCTGGGGCTTGCAACTAATGTATTGTGGTTCAGTGGGGTCTGTGAGGGGTACCCTTGTCCTGATTGTGTTTTCTTTCTTTTTTTTGCATTTTTTAACCCAATTTAATAAAGAGTTTGCAGTTTCAGGGCTGGAGATGGGTTAAAGTTTCTGATTTTCGGTGATTGTTTGGGGGGATGGTTTTAAAATAAAAATTGTTTTGTGGATTTTTTGAATTTTCCCGCCGGAAAAACAACTGTAAATTGTTCTGGTCCCCTTCAACAATGGAGGCGAGCAGAATAAGGAAAAAAACTTTCTTCATCAGGATTTGGTAATTCTTCCTTAGATGCCCAGAAGCCAATCTTCCACGCCAGCATATCCACGAAGCGCGCGCGCTCGAAACACTCGAGCCCTGCATGACAGCTTCACACGCCGCGCCACGGCGAAGTGCAGACACCTTCCCCACCTTCCCCACCCACCCACCCACCCACCCACCCACCCACCCACCCAACAAAACCTGCGGAGCTCTGGGCCCCAAACTCTGTCGCCCTCCAGGATCCACATGCCCTCATCCTCTTCGGTCACGCAGACCTTCCTGGCACCCGGAACCCCCGAAAAACCCGAGGGAGTCTGAAGCGCAAGAAGCGGCATGGAAAACAAACCGGCAGCCATGGCGGCCATGCATCCTGCCATTTGCTTAAGCCCCTAAAACAACATGTCCAGTTGTGATTGCTTCCCTTTAAAGCCAACAAGGGACAATAGCATAGTCTTAAGCAAATGAAAGCATCCTACAACGGGCCAGTGTTGACACAAGGCAAACATGATCGGCTGCAAAAAATGGGTGCCGCTGAATTTGATCGGCTTTGGGCGTGCGCTCGCGCTTGGTACAGGAAGAAAGAGAACCAGAACTAGATCATCTAACGGCTCCCCTTGAGGCGGACCGTCACTCGCTTGCAAGTTGCAATTGCAAGGTATGTCTGTGGCTCAAAAAAAAGGTACCAACATGGAACCCTGGTAAGTGGAAACATGGACCAAACCTGCGTAACCCCTCCTGTTTATAATTTTGAGCCACACCCTTATGTATATGGAGATAGCATGCCACCCTTGTTGCATGTTGAAAGGTGGTCATCTTCCGAGTGGTTCGCGGGAGCAACTTCGCCTCTGCCTCAGCCAGAAAGCATTTGTATGTTGGCCAGGGTCACATCCAATGCACTTGGTCATAGGAATGGTACCGGTGGTTTGTCTAGAATAGCCTAGTTTCCTTTTCAACCAACCAAAAGAGGGGTTCCCTCAAAGAAAGACAAACTCTCATCATGCGACGGAAACGGTTGTATCGGCTACAACATATGAGTGTGTCTTTTTTTCAGGGTAGCTGGAGGGGTTTAAACGGAAACCAGCTATTTTGGGGGGTCCACCTCATTCTGACGCAGCGCCATCTTGTGCTTCCACACTGTCTTACGCCTGTCACAACTCCTGCGCCCTTCCTGTGCCATTCCAAAATCCATCCGTTCGAAGAAGCAGGTCTCAGCCCGCTAACAGACTTGGCGTGCGGGGCGCACGCTCGCTTCTCTCATGGATTTTACCACTTCCAACGCTCGAACTCGGAGTGCAACATCCGCATGGGCCGCAGGGTTGATGGATGCAACTTGACCACCTCCGGTGGAGTTGATTCCCACACAAAAGCCCTCAAAAATCCTGTCAGTTGCTATGCTAGGAGGGTAACTAGGTCCTCAGTGGAGAGGTTAGCATAAAGGTACCCTTTTTTTCTGTAGTCTGTTTTAGTAGCCTCCCCCAAAAAAGAGTAAAAGTGCCCTGCTGGGGGACCTAGGTAAATACGAGATCCGAGGCGTCGAGCCTGGCCTGTTCAGCTCATATCCGTTGCCGTCTTTGACAATCTCACTCACACCCACACCTCGGCCATATGGCTGTGGGTCAAAACCAGTACTCGAAATTATAATGAGCGATCCCCCATTCTCCAACAACAATCCTATACCATGGGTCATACCGTTCTCCATAAACAAAATTGCTTAGAAAAATGGAACCATGGAACCAAGGACTAAAACCTGCAATCCCCTGGCAGTTTAGTTTTCATGCCGACAAGTCTGGAGGTCGGAACTTCCATGCCCCGTCTAGTCATACTTTTGTTTATCTGGTGTTGTCCATTCTGGGCTGTTCTGAGATGCCCATTTTAGAAATGCAAATCCTGAAATCCCCACTAAAGACTAACAAGCTCAAAGCCTAAGGAGATGGCTGGGAACCACCAAGTATTGAGAACATGCCATCAATGACACATGCAGCACTCAGGACATCAATCTCACTAACACACATCAGGTAAACCGTACGCAAGCAGTGGGTCGAGAGGTCGAGGGTAGCACTTGACCTCATCCAAAGCACCCAGATTCGAGCCAAGCGTTCTGGACCTCGCGGCCTTTCGCCCGAGCAAGCTGGAGGATGGCCGCAAGAGACAGCAAGCGCTCTGTTTGCCGACTTCAAGCTTGAAGCGCCTGTCGCTAGATTCAGCGTCAAGTTGAGCAAGCATCAGAGAATCATTCTACCAGCAATCATGGAAGCTGACTTTGGAAGCCTATTATATCCTTCTGAGGCACCCCCTATGCCCACTTCCCTGACTCGTGGATTGGTCCGCACCGCTTTCTCAAAGGCACATCATGGCAAGGGCTCACAAGCATCGGGCCGCATTTGTCCCAAGGCTTTCACTTGCACAAGATGTTGTATGGTTGGTACATAGGGGGTCTGCAGCAAAAAAACAATTGAGCAGCGCCCAAAACCCATTGACTTTTGGTTCTAATGAAACAGTTCGATTGAAACAGGTTGCAACAAAGGCTTCTCTATGTGCCTTACTATCACCCCCATAAAGCCATGTAGTCTTTGAGCACTCAATGATGCATCTCTATCCCTCTCTGTTATGGAATAACTAGCTGCGCGCATCGCCTTGAAGTCCTCAGTTGTTCTTAAACGTCGGGTCTCTGTGGCTGTTGCCTTGGGTAATATCATAAGCCCCCCACAGCAACAACAACAACAACAACAACAACAACAACAACAACAACAACAACAACAACAACAACAACAACAACAACAACAACGACAACGACAACGACAACGACAACGACAACGACAACGACAACGACAACGACACGACAACGACAACGACAACGACAACGACAACGACAACGACAACGACAACGACAACGACAACGACAACGACAACGACAACGACAACGACAACGACAACGACAACGACAACGACAACGACAACGACAACGACAACGACAACGACAACGACAACGACAACGACAACGACAACGACAACGACAACGACAACGACAACGACAACGACAACGACAACGACAACAACAACAACAACAACAACAACAACAACAACAACAACAACAACAACAACAACAACAACAACAACAACAACAACAACAACAACACCAACAACACCAACAACACCAACAACACCAACAACACCAACAACACCACCACCACCACCACCACCACCACCACCGCCACCCCCACCACCACCACCACCACCACCACCACCACCACCACCACCAACAACAACAACAACAACAACAACAAGAACAACAACAACAAAAAAAAACAAGCGAAGCACTGCACTAAAAAAAGAACCACTGCAGTTATGCAGCCAAGATCCAACCGAACAGCAGCCAAGGCGTCCCAGAGCACCCAATAAGTTAAGGCTTCGGCCCCTCATGCCACCTGGCGAGCTGATCCCACCAGTGATGTCAGCTTGTTTGTCCTGTTTTGGGGTGGCGCATGGCGCATCTTATTAACTAGGTCCTCCAGATTTGAGAGGTTAGAATAAGGGTACCAACTCTTTTCAGTTTTGTCTATTTTAGTAGAGAAACCCTCCCAGCCAAAAAAAAGGTGAGAAGGGCACCTAGAGTTAAGGTTGGACCCTCTAAGATGGGTGGATTGTCCTTTTGATTTTCCTTTCAAGCCACGGAATGGGGCACCCTCAAAACAAAAAAACACAGGCCCACATGGTTCGGGAGCTCCTTTAAATTCGGAAGCCCGAGTGGCGCGTCTCCTTTTTTGGGCTTATAGAACCATAAACTCCATAAACAGGGATCCCCACTTTGAGACGCCCTCATAGTGGACGAAATCCATTTCGCACCACCCAAGACTTCAAGAAGCCCTGGAATGGCCTGATTCCCTGTAAGTACGTACCAACAAACAGTGGTTTCAACCATGGTTTCTTGGGTGGTGCAGGATTTCGCAACCATCCACCGTATTACGCACACACACACACACACCTAGTTTCAACAACGAAGCTACGGTGTTCAACTGGGAGGGTGGATGCTGATGCCTCCTTTGTACGAATAAAAACATATACTCAGTTGTTCAGTGACCCTGGAACAAAATGGAACCCTTTTTGGGGAAGACCATTTTTAGTGGGGCAGCCACCCAAAAAGAATGGGGAAAAAGGGAGCCACTGAACAACTGAGTATATAATTAGGAAGGGTACCGCGAAGATCAGCTTTGGAGGGACACCCTGTGCCATGTTCGTTGGAGAGAGGGCAACATTTAACTATGTATTTCCGCACCTACGTCGCGCGTGTAAGAGTACCTTGCATGTGTGTGTCTGTGTTTCTCCTTCTTTCATTGAAGCAACTCCTCTGGGGTACTGCTTGACACCAGTGACTTTCTGGCATAGCTCACTTGAGTGGACTGGCCCAAAACTCAATCTTTGGAAGAGCGGAATGTGAATTCCAGTTAAATGATTAAAACGCAAAAAACACATCCACTTCCATGAGATCGGGGAGCGGGGGGATAGATAGCTTTGACAACGTGATCTAGCACTTGGGGGGTCCAATTCTTTTGCATCGGCGGGTTTGACATCTTCAAAATTGGCACAGAAGATTCTGAGCGTTGCTGAGTCACAATCAACACCTGGCAATTAAAAAAAACAAATAAGACACGGCTACCCAACACAACTGTAAAGAAACAAAAGGGCGGCCACACCGGTTTCTTGCAAGAATTCTTCCTGACGAAGCCTCACTTACCCAGGTTTTCATTGTGCCTGTTGATGACGAGTGCATGTAACCCCGTGTAGTCAGGTCTGATAACAATATTAACCTTTTTCATGTGCACAGAAAGTGAGTAGAATATGCAACGCATGGGATCTGTGAGATTGCAGCACGCAAGCCCCGAAGATAGGGAAGGCCTGGCCAGTTTGAGTTTACGATGGGAGGATGGACTAGCGAAGATGCTTCTTGGTTGCTGTTGCCCCCCTGCAAATAGTTTAACTTATTGGGGGTTTAGTGGAAAACCCCTTGATTTCCCTTCAGCCGTAAGCAAGACATCACCTAGCCCACATGAGGCAGACTCAAATCGAGCAACCTCGCACCAAGAATCTGTCCGCTACAGCCCAGTTTCCGGAACATCTCCCAATTTCCCCCTTCAAGACACACCCAGAAATGGGCTTGTATTCTTTGGAGGGTGCCATTTTGGGCTGGCTAAGGGAAGGCCAGAAATACATCACTCTGGGGGGTCGCAATCACTATTTCAAGACATCGAGATCTGTTGTACTAAGCTGCTTCCTGCAAAATGCGCCCAGACCTCTCTGGGTCAGCCAGGCGAATCAGTGGGAAAGGCCATAAGGCGTGAAAGCTCAGAAGCTGCGGATCCCTGCGGATCCCTGCAAAGCCTATGGCTTCTGGATTCTGGGCAGGATGGCAGGACACACCCTTGGTTCAAACACCCCTTTCCAAGGTCCAATCTTGCAACTCACGGGCTCGTTTTGAGACGACCATTTTCGCCGTCCAGCCCTCTTGACACATGTGTTTCAACATAGGAGCAATCCTTTTGGCTTCTCTGTCCACCCAAGGCTGACCCCAACATGGCTGGGTTCCCATACCATTCATACACCCGTTGCCTCTTGTGAGCCACAATCACTGAAATCGAATGGTTCGACGAAGGGTTTCTAGGTCCTCCAGTAGAGAGGTTGGAACTAGGGTAGCCTTTTGGCACGTGACGCACGATTGTCTGGCGCGCGTAGGTGGTAGGGCATGCCGCCCCACTACCGGTGAAAAAGAGGGCATCCGCCCCGGAGCCGTGCGGCCAGTCCTGCGGCTTGATGAGGAGCTCATCCAAGTGCAGCAGAGTTGGGCCATGGCTCAGTCCTACAACATCTGCATCAGAACCTAGGGCAACAGGGGCCTCAGGGAGGGGCACCGCGGGATCAGGGGGCTCCGAAAAAGGAGGGGGAACAGGTGTGGCCGCCAAGGCAAGGAAGAGCTGCTGGAGCCACCGATGGCGCCGGTAAGCAGAGAAGAACAGAGCCGACATGCGAGAGACAGGAAGGGCAAGACAGGCACGTGCCGCACGTTTAGCCGCAAGGTCCGCAGCATGGTTGCGACGGGCATGAAGAAACCCCACAGAGCCAGGGCATTGATCAAGGGAAACGTGGCCCCTGATCCAGTGAAGAGTCAAGGCAAAGCCAGCGGTGGCACGCAGTTGAACCAAGTCCCAAAGAGGCTGCCAGATGTCAGCGGCCGCAGCATTGGGAGGCACAGACCCGCGCTGGTGAAAACCATGCCAAGCACGAACAGCAGCCTGAGAATCCGTATGGATTGTAAGTCGCCCACGAGCAAGCTGAGCGGCGCACAGGATGGCATAGACTTCAGCGCGGTAATTGTCAGCAAGGGGGCCAGGCACGGGACCAGAGGCAGACACTCTGGCAGAAGCACTGACAACCGCAAAGCCCGCAACGGCGAAGACAAGGTGGTGAGGCAAGAAGACACTGCCGTCAGTCCAAAGGTGGACATCACCACCACCACACCAAGGGAGTGGGGTAGTGGGAGGCCAGGGCACAGCCCGTAGGGCAGCGTGAGCCAAGTCAGCAGGGATTTTGGGCAGGCGGCAGGCCGATGCGAGCGTGGAGAGCACTGCACTGCACGAGGTGGGCAAGCGACTCATCAGCCCCATCACAGAAGCGACAACCAGGGGAGGCAGCCAAGTTGGAGGCATAGAGGCGGTCTGCCGTAGCCGCTGAGCCAACAACCGCATGCGCAACCGCATGATTGGAAGGAAAAGCACGAACGAAAGAAGTCCAGCCAGGGCCAGGCGGCACAGACCAGGGGGACCGGGTAAGAGCAACGTCAAGCCAGGGGTAATATCAGCACGCTTCCCACGGCAGGCACGCTGGTAGGCATGCTGAGCGATGGTCCACTGCAAGAGCCTTGCCAGAGAACGTAAGGACACACTGAAGAGAGACACCCAAGGACCCGAAGCAAGGGCAATGTCAGCAGGGGCACGGAAGCGCAAACCACACAAGGTGACCGCCGCAATCAGATTGGAGACAAGCGTGGAAGGCCTGATCCTAGGATTGGTAAAGGCGATGCGCCACTGGATGGCGAAGACCTCCGATCGCTGGAGGTGGGAAGCCACGTTGAGGACAGCACGATACGCCATGGCATACTCGGGGTGCACAAGGTGCCCACGATGGACAACAGCGAGTAGTAACTCGCGAGAACGCCAGCCGGGCCTGCCATCCCACAGGACGCCCGCAACCTCAGAAGCCAAGGTGGAGAGCAAGCCGCGAGGCACAAAGTTGAGCTCAGCTGAGTAAGTGAGCATGGGCATGGCCTTGCGAGCAACGAAAGTGGCTTTGGCGAAGGGCGAGAGAGGCAGGCGCAGATGGCCCGGAGTGCAGCCCGAAACCGGGCAATCGCAGGGGCACGGGCATCCTTAGTGCCACGCAAACCCAAGTTGATGCACACGCCAAGCGGGCGGAGAGAACGAAGGCGCGGCGCACCAGGGAGGGCCGCTTGGAGTTGCGGGGCAGGAGACTCCTGAGTAGTCCACCAACCGGATTTGTGAAGATTGAAAAGCTGACCGGAGAGACCGTCAAAAAGAGAAGTGGCCCTGACAGCCTGCACCAGTGAGGGGATGGCATCCGGTGAGGAAACGGACATGTAGCCGTCATCAACGTAGACCCGAGGTTCCAATTCAGGGAAGTGCCTGATAAGAAGCACCTAGAACCGAGAGGGAGCAGCCCTGAGCGATGCCGTTGCTGTTGGCCAAGGGAGCAGGGTGGATGGCCCCACGCCAGGAGAGATAACGCCGAAAAGCACGGTAGTTGGAGCGCCAAGCCTGAGCCACAGATAAAGGAAAGCCCAGAGCCGTGAGGATAGCGACGGTGTGGTTGGGAAGGAGGCGGTCAAAGCACTTGGAGCGGTCGATCTGGATGCCCGCGAAGACCTCATTGGTAGCTTTGGCCTCATGAAGATCAAGCGCAAGATGGTGAGTGATGTCGTCAACCCTGCGACCACTGACCCCACCACACACCTCAGCAGGGAGGACAAGGCGTTGCCAAGCCGAGGAAGCACGGAACCTGGCCGAGGACCAGGCGAGGTAGGTGATGGGAAGGACAGCAATGAGGCGCTTGGAGAGGGGGCTAGGGCCTTTGTCCAACACGGCAAGTCTGGCGGTGCCGAAGATGCGAGGCATGGTCCAAGAACCATCCTCAACCCTGTTAAAGAGAAGGGCAAGCACCCTCAAAACCTGGAGACTGGAGCTCCCGGGTGGACCAACCGTCCAGGCCAGCAGAGGAGTCCACACACCGAGCGGCAATGGAGTGAGCCAGGTCCTCCGGCGTGACGGCCGGAAGAATAAGGGGCGTAGCCCGTTGCTCAAGCAAGTGCTGAATGGGCCGCATGAGGGGCTCAACGGGGATGCCAGTAGCATGGACAGCA